GTTCTTTTTGGTATAATGACTCTGTGTATTCCTTCCATTGTCTTTAATGCTTCCTGCGTCATTTAATATTTTCCCCATAGAATCCTTCATTATTGCAACTGGAGGCTTCAATTTTTTCTTCAGTTCTTTTAGCTTGAGAAATGCCGAGCATGTTCTTCCCTTTTGGTTTTCTGTCTCCAGGTCTTTGCACATGTCGTTATAATACTTTACTTTGTCTTCTCAAGCTGCCCTTTGAAATCTTTTGTTCAGTTCTTTTACTTCATCATTTCTTCCTTTTGCTTTAGCTACTCAACTTTCGAGAGCAAGTTTGAGTCTCTTTTGACATCCATTTTGGTCTTTTCTTTCTTTCCTGTCTTTTTAATGACCTGCATGGAGGGAGAAGGAGGAAAGCAGAAAGCAAGGCTGACATCTTGGCTGTGTAGATGTTTAAGGCAAGTTGAAGTCTTCTAATCTCTAATGGGGTCCCATTGAGAATCCTATTCTTTTCATTTACTGCCCAGTTATCATGTGCGATCCTTTACCAAACATGATGTCCTTGTCCAATGGTTGATCTTTGCTGATGATGTGTCCAAAGTAAGGGAGCTGAAGTCTCACCGTCCTCACTTCTAAGGAACATTCTATCTTTACATATTAGTTCTTTATATATTATTGCCCTATTCCAAAACATGATATGTATTTCCATTCACTCAAAATGTTTAAAGCTCTCTAGATTTTGGAGTGATCAAATGAGGTAATATATAGAAGCACTTTGCAAAGTCAAGAAATTTCTAGAAATGAAAATGGAAAGACAGGCTCATTCATACCAAGAAGCACATCTAAGACCCCCTGCAGAACAACCCCACTGAGAGGATCGCTTAGGCAGCAGTGGCTTCCCAAACTTCAAGGGGTATAGTGGGCTGAATGGTGCCCTCAAAAGATACGTCCATGTCCTAACCTCTGGAACCTGGAAACATGGCCTTATTTGGGAAAAGGGTCCTTGCAGACAGAATTAAGGGTCTTCAGATGAGGAGATCATCCTGGATTATCCTGTTAGCCCTAAATCCAATGACAAGTGTACTTATAAAAGTGAGACAAACAGAGATGACCCAGAGAGAAGAGCAGATGGTGATGTAAAGGTGGAGGCAGAGACTGGAGCAATGCAGCCACAGCCCAGGAATACCTGGGGTCACCAGAAGCTGAAGAGGCAAGGAAGGATCCTCCCCTAGGGCCTCCTAGGAACATGGTCCTGCTGACACCTTTGATTTTGGCCTTCTGACCTCCAGAACTGGGAGAGAATAAACTTGTGTTGCTTTAAGCCACCCAGTTTATGGTCGTTTGTTATGGCCTCCCTAGCACCTAGCACGGGGATTAACCATCTTCCTCAAAGCCTCGGTTTAGATGAGGTGGTCACTGAGAGAGACTGGGAAACAGCAGCTGCTGGAGCCCTGCGGCCCTCATGGGCACAGTTCTATCGGAGCCAAGCTGTGGGGCTCCCGGGAGTGCATGGAGACAAAGCCAGAGGCAGCAGCTCCAACCCCAGACCCGGGATCAGTGAGCCCTCAGGGCCCTTTCAGCTGTCTTTGCAGGACAGATTCAATGCCAGAAGCCCCACCAAGGATAGAAGGATGGCAGAGTGGACAAGTGGCTGGGGCTAGGAGCCCTGGAGTGCTTCCCGCCACAAACCCAGCAGGAAGCTGAGCAAGGACAGAATTCTCCCTGATTGGCTCCATGGAAAACATCGCTTGCCCTTTGTAAGTGGACAAGTGGCCTTTAACAGGCTGTGCCTGTGTTCCAAAATCATTCTTGGAACAAACTATTATATCAGAGCCCTGGCGTGGTGCAGAAAAAGACCGATAGCTAATGAGTATTGAATGCTAATTATCTGCCAGGGCCATTATAAATACACTTTCTAGTCCCCTCAGTATTCCTGGAAGAAGAGTGGAATTAATGCCATTTTAAAGAGGAGGAAACCAGCCTGAGCTTGCGTGGCTGGAAGGTGGCCTAGAATGTGGTTCAGAGCAAGGCTTTGGGACTAGATAGGCCTGGTTTGAATCCTGATTCTGCCTCTTACTGGGTGACCTTGGCATTGGAATTTAGAAGATGCCAATTAAATCACCCCTCTTTATTTCTGGATTTTAACTAGTATAGAATATACATAAAGAGCTGAGTGGGCAACTGAGTATTAACGCTGGGCCTGATAACTCCCAAAGCTCCCTGCTAATGTTGGGTTGGAGTAGTGACTGGACTTGAGGCCAAGAAGGAGCTTCTTTCATACCTCCACCTCCCACTCTAGACCTTGCAGCCCACCTGAGGGGCAAGATATGTCATGTAGCTTGGCTAATTAATTAGAATTAGGCTCAATTCAGATAACATAAAACCCAAATAACTGACTTAAACAAGATATATGCATTTTCCTTTCCCATTCAAGAAATTTAGAGATATGGTCAGAGCTGGTAAGAAATTCCACAGTGTTATCGACCCAAGTTCATTTTTTTCTTGTTCTACTCTGTGACTTCCATTCCCAAGGTTGCCTCATGGCCCAAGATAGCTGCTGGTACTCTGGTCATTAGCTCTGCATTCAAGCCAGCAGTGAAGAAGATAGAAGATGAAGAAGGGCATGTCCTGTCCTACCAATGTCCATTTACATCCCGACGGTCACACCTAGCTATGAGGGAGGCTGTGAAATGTAGTCTTGATCCTGGGCAGCCAGGTGCCATCTAAAAGTTGAGGGTTCTGTTCCTAAGGATGAAAGGAAGACTGGATAGGAAGGGAGAAGTAGAAGCCAGGGTCTGGCTTTTAAGGAAAATTGATCCTACTTCTGGGAACATGGCCTAGTAGGTATGAGGCTCTTATTAAGCTGATTAGCTGTTGCTCCCCTCAAGGAGAAGCTCTAGTAAGTAGAGAGAGGGCAGAATTATTGAGTAGAAATAGATACATAGCTACTGTTGAGTCACTCCGACTCATAACGACCTTACGTACAACAGAATGAAACGTTGCGGTCCTGCATCATCCTCACGATTGCCAACATGTTTGAATCCATCATTGGTGGCTATTGTGCCAATCCATCTCGCCAAGGGGCTCCTACACTTTCGGCCCTCTACTTCACCAAACATGATGCCCTCCTCCGGCAGTCGATCCCCCCGATGACGTGTCCAAAGCAAGCAATTCAGACAGTGTTCTGTTGTGATCCATAAGGTTTTCATTGGGTAAATTTCAGAAGCAGATCACCAGGCCTTTCTTCCTGGCCTGTCTTAGTCTGGAAGCTCTGCTGAAACCTGTCCACCATGGGTGACCCTGCTAGTGTTTGATGCTTCCAGCATCACAGTAACATGTAAGTCACCACAATATGACTGACACATGAGTAGTGATTATTGGATAGAGTTGGCAGCAGGGGCAGATTAACCACTAAGCAAGGTATGCATGGGCTAACAGTAAACAAGGTACACACAGGCTTGTGTTTACTAATCTGTAGTGCACAGTTTCGCAAAACAAGTGAAATTGTGCACTATAGATTAGTAAATAAGCACAAGTAAGCCCATGCATATCTTGCTTCTTGGGTAGTCTGCCCCTGGTTGGCAGAATTATTGGAGAGAGGTGTTCCTCATGGAGTCATGGGCATGGGAGATAAGGGTTTTCCCCTACCACTTGGTCACAGCATGTGTGGCACATGGTATGTGGTCAGCAAATGAAAAGAATAGGAGTCTCACTGGGACCCCATTACAGATCACAAGACTTCAACTTGCCTTAAACACCTACACAGCCAAGATGTCAGCCTTGCTTTGTGCTTTCCTCCTTCATATCTCCCTCCATGCAGAACAAAGTTCCTATGGTACCACTGCCAAAAGGAAAGCTTGTCCTAAGTGCCAATGTCCTTCCCTGTGTCAGGTGCTGCCTTCCCTCCTGATCTGGGCACGTGGAGCCCTCTGAGCCCAGCCCTTCTAATGTGCCCATCTGCCCACTGTCCCCCAAGCCCACTGTCTCTTCCTAGCACATGGCAAAGATGGAGGTGGGAAGACACATTGAACTCAAGGCTCCCACAGGTGGCTGACGGGTCTTTGCTTCTGCTCTCAGACTCTCCAGTCTCAAATTAAAAAACTGGAAATGAACAAGGTGGATAAAAGCATGATGGAGCATGAGTTGAAAGAGGTGAGTGAGCAGAGAGGTTCCTTTGCCTTTCCTACGCCCCCATACTGAGCCCCAGCTCTCCCACCCAGGAAAATGGAAGCATCCAGCAAAGGCAAAACCAGGCAAAGAGACTTCCAGAATTTCCTTTGACCTTTATTCATAAAAGAAGGTTGAGGAAGCTTCTCAAAAGTTGTCCTGTCAACTCCTATTCTCAGTGACTCAGGATTAGTGATACCTGTTATGTGGACTTAAAAATCATGTGCAAATACTGTGTGATCTCACGTACATGAAATAAGCAAATATAGAAAACAAAGATTATTAGTGGTTACCAGGGGTGGAAGGGAGGCATTGACTTTATGTTAATGGTGGTGGAATAATTAGGAAAAAGATAGTGATAGGGGTTGTACCACATGAAGAGTGTAATCAATGTTATTGAATTGTACATGTAGATATTGTTCAATTGGTGACTGTTTTGTTATATATATTTTCACTACACACAAAAAAGTTATGCACCAACTTCTCTGTCATAGGAAGACATTGGCTTAGATCTCAAGGTTGTGTTTGAGCTAATGTAGACTCCAAGGTTGAATTTAAGCCAATGCTAGACCTCTAGAGTCCCAAATTAGAAAAAATTTGACCAAAGGGGCCTGATTTTGTCTAGTCAGCCCCTGCCCCCATCCCAGCAGCCCTGCTTCCTGAGTTCCCGCTCTCTCTAGAAAGCCGACAGGAGTGCCCTGGCAGGGAAGGCAAGCCGAGCTGACCTGGAGACGGTGGTAATGGAGCTGAATGAGATGATGCATGGCATGCTGCTCAAGTTCACAACCAACGAGGATGACTGGAAGAAGTCCGTGGAGCAGCTGAACAAGGATGTGAGCATCAAGGTGAGCACCTCGTATTAGTTATCTTTTGCTACGTAACAAATTACCCCAAAATGTAGCCACCTAAAGCAACAAACATTCTGTTTCTGAGAGTCAAGAGTTTGGGAGCGGCTTAGCTGAGTGGTTCTGGTGTAGGGTTTCCTATGAGGGTGCAGTCAAGATGGCCGTTGGGGCTGCTGTCATCTGAAGGCTTGACTGGAGCCGGAGTATCTACTTCCAAGATGACTCTCCCACATGGCTGTTGGTGGAACTATTCCATTCCTCATCATACAGACTCCTTAGTGCTGCTTGAGTGTCCTCACGACATGACAGCCAGCTTCCCCCACAGCAAGTGATCGAAAAGAGAAAGACAGAAGCTGAGTTCAAAGATAACATTATTAGGAATTTCAAGATGGCAACAGCAGAGCATTAAACCAAGCAAGGTTCTTTTGAGTGTGGGGCCCTGTACGATTGCATAGGTCTGACTATAAGGCTGGCCCTGCAGCCAGGGGAGGGGAAAGGAGGCTACAGGTCCCCACCATAAGTCCCTGCAAACAAATCTCCTTTGCTATGATTAGCTAAGGCATCCCACTACAGAACAATTCCTGATCGGTATGAGACCAACTAAGTAGAAATCTCTGTGAGTGAAACTCTATCAGTTCCTGGAGAGATTTGAGGAAATCTGGCACAGTGCTTGGCACATACAGCCCCTCCCCCCATGAATACAGATTGAATGCATGAATGTTGAGTATATGAGGATCTCTGGGAGAAGTGTTTCTTGGGCCTCGGGTCCTGGAATGAACGGCAGGTTTGATTTTATCTTTTGGAGGCAGTAACCAGTTGTGTATCTTCGCCTTGGCCACTGGGAAGCTCACTGCAGCTCCCCTCTGGCAACAAGGCATAGCATGCACTGGGGCTATATTCATTTCCTTAAGCTGCTGTAAAAAAGTACCACGAACTAGGTGCCTTAAAACCACAGAAATTTATTCCATCACAGTTCCGGAGGTTAGAAGTCCAAAATCAAGGTTAGCTCCTTCTGGAGACTCGGAATGAGAATCTGTCTCATGCTGCTTCCTAGCCTCTGATGGTTCCTGGCAGTCCTTGGCATTCCTTGACTTGTAGATAAAAAACAAAACAACACACAAAAAACAGTTGTCATCGAGTTGATTCTGACTCATAGCAACCTCATGTGTGTCAGAGTAGAGCTGTGCTCCATAGAGTTTTCAGTGGCTGCTTTCTTGGAAGTAGATCGCCAGGTCTTTCTTCTGAAGTGAGTCTGGGTGGACTCAAACCTGCAGCCTTTCAGTTAGCAGCTGAAGGTGGTAACCGTTTGCACCATCCAGGGGCTCCAAACTTGTAGATGCATCACTCCAGTCTCTACCTCCATCCTCAGGTGGCCATCTTCCCTCTGCGTCTCTCTCTGTGTCTCTTCTCTTTTGATAAGGGTACCGCTCAGATAGGCTTAGGACCCACCCTACTCTGGTGTGACCTCATGTTAACATCTTCAAAGACTATTACCAAACAAGGTCACAGCACTGGGGGTTAGGACTTGAACATCTCTTTTTGGGGATGTTCAACCCATAACAAGGGGCACGAACCTCAACCCAAGCGTTATCATTTTCCCTTTCCTTGACCACCTCTCTTGTTGTTACTATTTTTAAATCCTACCTTAAGGCCAAGGAGCCCTGGTGGTGCAGTAATTAAGTGCTCGGCTGCTAACTGAAAGGTCAGCAGTTCAAACCCTTCAGCTGCTTTGTGGGAGAAAGATGTGGCAGTCTGCTTCCATAAAGATTACTGCCTCAGAAACCCTATGGGGCAGTACTACTTTGTCCTACGGGGCTGGACCCGACTCGAAGGCAATGGGTTTATTGTAAGGCCTGGCAATCTGCTTCCCAAAGGTCACAGCCTTGAAAACCCTATGAAACACAATCCTACCCTGCACATGTGGGGTCGCCATGAGTTGGAATTGACTAGATGGCAACTTTTTTTTGGTGGGGGGTATTCTATGTAACTTTTTAGGTGGCTGCAAATACTTTTCTGGAGTGGGAGAGGGTGTGATTACTGAGCTAAACTCTCTTTTCTTCCTTTTGACTGTTCCCAGCTAGTCCCAAGAGATCTGGACCCCCTGAAGAAAGAAGTGGAAGAGGTCTGGAAAATAGTCAGGATGTTGCTGATCGAGGGTCTGCGATTTGATCCTGACAGTGCCGCTGGCTTCAGGAAGTGAGTGTACGGGGCCTTCTGGGTAGGGGTCCAGCTCCCGCAGGCTGGGAGACCCTCTCTCTAGGAGGAAACAAGAGGGGTCCAGACCTGTGGGACATTGCGGGGAGGACTTTCCCAACTCGGGTGGGTGGGGGACTGGGATGGGGCCACCCATAGGGTGCATTGGGCACCCCTAGAGGTGGATGGCTCTGGCCTTGGCTGGCAGAGGGACCCCCGGAAGGCATCTGCTCCAAAAGCTTTTACCACAGATGAGGAAACGGAGGCTCAGAGGGGGAAGGGGTCATGGGAGGCCACACGGGGTATCTCGGCAGGTCTGAGGCTGGAGCCAGGACCCCTGACCCCCACCTAGACAGTGCCCCACGCGGAGGGTCCTGATGTTCCTGGGGGGTTCCTGTCCTCAGCTCACCCCCCACACGCCCCCAGATGCCCACCGTGAAGGGTATCTTTTCCAGAAGGCCTGGTTTTAAAGCTCATCCATTGTGTTTGGGGCGGCTAGATGAACCACGCCGCTTTGGTCCCTCATCTCTGCTCCAAGGGGCGGGTCAGCAGGGCCTGCAGAGCTGAGCTGGGTCGGGTAAACGGAGGAGGGCGTCCTGGCCCAGAGGCACAGGCAGATCTGCAGACCTCCCACTCCCCAGCGCTGCCGGGGCCGGGAGCCTCCTCGTAGGGGCTGGGCAGGGGGTGGGTGCCCCAGCTGAGGGAGCCGGGGTCTCTTCCAGGAAGCTGTTTGAGCGCGTGAAATGCATCTCCTGCGACCGCCCGGTGGAGATGATGACCGGCCCGTGAGTACCTCCCAGATTATCCCGCCAGGGAGCGCCCGCGTGCGCCTTCTTTCTGGGGTCCCCGCCCTCCCGCGCCCCTGACCTTGCTGTGCTTACCCGGTTCTATATCCATCATTTACATAACGTCTACACGCCTCCATCATTCCATATGCATCGTTTCATTCCTTCGACTCTGAGTGATTCCCTGGACGGGAGACATTGTCAGAACTTACATTCCTTTCTTCACCAACCCTCTCTGGTGTCCGCTATGGGCAGGGGCTGGACCAACTCCGGAAGAAAAGGGTGTTCATCATCATCGTGGGGCGGAGCGAAGCTTTGTGGGCTTCCCTGCAGTTACCTTTATGCTTTAGTGGGTTTTGGAGCCCTGGTGGCTGCTAACCAAAAGGTCAGCAGTTGGAATCCACCAGCTGCTCCTTGGAAATCCTATGGGACAGTTGTACTGTGTTCTATAGGGTCGCTATGAGTCGGAATTGACTTGATGGCATCAGGTTTGCTGTTTTTCGTTTTAATGGGTTTTGAGGACCAGGTGACCCAAGGTGCTAGCCTGGCCCAGCGACCCACAGAACTCCTCACCACCCCACGCCACATAGTGCTAACGGAGGGGCTTTGGAGTTACATCCAGAATTTTTCCTTCAAACCACAGATGTCTAGTTGCAGCATTATTTATAACAATCAAATGTGGGAAACAACCTGCAGTCCAGAAATAGAGAAATGGTGAATGCTATGGTCCATTCATCTCCGCCAATGTAAATCTCGGCGCAGAAGAACACTGTCCAAGAGAACATCCCGCGATCGTGGAAACGTCGTACGTCGGTGCCATCCGGTGCAGTACCCACTTGTCACGTGTGGCTGCTGAGCACCTGAAGTGTGACTAGCTCGACTGAGGAGCTTTTTAAGTTTTACTGAATTTTCGTTAACTTCAATGTAAATTTAAATACTAAAATGTGGCAAGGGGCTATGGTCTTGGATAGCATGGTTGTGGAAGAATTTTTAGTGAGTGACCTGGGAAAATGTTTGTAATAAGTGCAAAAAATCAAGTTTCAAGGTAGTATATGTGTTATGACCCTATTTTTGTAAAAAAAGTATATAAACATGAAAAAATACTGGAAGGACAAATATCTAAATATTTGTCAGGTAGTTATAGTGATTTATTAATTTCTTCTTTATGCTTTTCTGTGTCTTTGAAAATTTTGATAATCAATACATACTGCTTTAAAATTTTATTGTATCTGAACATACACATGGTAAAGTACACACGTGTTTATTGTATGGTTCAGTGAATTTTGACACATGTATACACCTCGGTGGCATAATGATTAAGAGCTACGGGCTGCTAACCAAAAGGTCAGAAGTTCAAATCTGCCAGCCGCTCCTTGGAAACTCTATGGGGCAGTTCCACTGTGTCCTGTAGGGTTGCTATGAGTCAGAATTGACTCGACGGCAATGGGTTTGGTTTTTTGTTTTTTATACACCGGTGTAACCACTGTTCAGACCAAGATGTAAAACAGTTCCAGCTTCCCAGAAGACTAATATGTTTTATTTTTTAAATTAAGATGAAGTCTGACAGAAACTGGATGAACCCCCGAAACTATGACCCCCGGACGCTGTATTGACCCAGACCTAAAACCATTCCTGAAGCCCACTCTTCAGACAAAGATTAGACAGGACTATAAAACAAAAAATAATATTCATGAGGAGTGTGCTTCTTAGTTCAATCAGATACATGAGACCAAATGGTTGGCTCCTGTCCGGAGGCAGGATGAGAAGGCAGGAAGGGACAGGAACTGGTTGAATGGACACAGGGAACCCGGGGTGGAAAGGAGGAGTGTGCTGTTACATTGTGGGGATGGCAACTAATGTCACAAAATAATATGTGTATACATTTTTGTACGAGAAATTAACTTGAGCTGTAAACTTTCACCTAAAGCACAATTTTAAAAAAAGATTTTAAAAAATTGAGATAAAAATTTACATAACACAATTCCCAATTTTCAAGTGAACAATTCAGTGGTGTTTAGTACAGTCATACTGTTGTGTAACCATCACCCAGCCTCAGAATATTTCCATCACCCTGGACCTGTTAGCAGTCACTCCCCATTCCCTTCTCCCCACAGCCCCTGGCAGCTCTGCTTTCTGACTCCGGACTTAACCTGCTCTGGTGTTGTACTTCTGTGTTCGTTTCCTAGCATTGCCGTAACAAAGTACCGCCAATTGAGTAGCTTATAAGAACAGGAATTTATCATCCCCCAGTTCTGGATGTCAGGAGCTCAAAATCAGGATATCGGCTGTGTCAGTTCCTTGTGATGGTTCAGAGGGAGACTCTGTTCCATGCTGCTCTCCTAGCTTCTGGTGGTTCCTGGCAGTCTTTGGCGTTCCTTGGTTTCTGATGCATCACTCCAGTCTCTGCCTCTGTCTTCACATGGCCGTTATCTATGTGTGCATGTCTGTGTCTCTACTGCTCTTTCTAAAGACGCCAGTCACATTGGATCAGAACCCACCCCACTCCAGTATGACCTCACGTTAACTTAACCAGTAACATCTTAAAGACTCAATTTCCAAACAGGGTCACATTCACAGGTTTTGGAGGTTAGGACTTCAGCGTATCTTTGGGATGAGGGGCACGATTCAATCCACAACAACTTTTATAACCAGAAAAATTGGTCTTTATGTCTTACGGAGATTACAGTGTACTCAGGGCCCCTCATAATCGGGGCTGTGGACACTTGTGGAGAGCAGGCAGCGTTTGGGGCAGGGGACTTGCCCCGAGTGCACACCTCCTCCGTCCATCCAGGAAGGCTTCCTGAAGGAGGTGGGGGCTCGAGCCCTCTGCTGGCCACCTGTGCCTCCCACTTAGCTGCTGCCACCTTGTTGTCCCCCAACAGACACCTCATCACCATCCGCAAAGCCCACCTGCTTTCGAGGCTGCGGCCCGCCAGTGCCAACAGCTATGAGTACCTGCAGCGGCAGCAGATGAGGTGAGCTGGCCGCGGGTGGAGGTGCCTCCCTGAGGTTACTCAAGCCTGGGAGCCTATTCCTACAGGGACATCCTGCAGCCTCAGGAACCAGCGATTGTCCCAGGGTGTGGCCAGCCGTCTGCAAGGGGGTGTGGACATTCCAGGAGGTGACATGGGCAGCAGACGGACAGACGAGTTGACTGTGGAGGAGAGACACTGACTGACGTGTTTATTGGGCATCTATAGGTGTTCTCAAGGAGCCCTGCTGGCGCAGTGGTTAAGTGCTTGGCTGCTAACTGGAAGATCAGCAGTTTGAGCCCACCAGCCACTCCTCAGGAGAAAGATGTGGCAGTCTGCTTCTGTAAAGATTTACAGCCTTGGAAACCCTACAGGGTGGTTCTACACTGTCCCGTAGGGTCACTGTGAGTCGGAATCAACTTGTCAGCAGGGGTTTTGGGTTTTGGTTTATAGATGTTTTCAGTAGCTCCTGGGTAGTGCAAATGGTTAAGCACCCAACTACTAACCAAAAGGTTGGCAGTTCAAACTCACCAAGAGGTGCCACAGAAGAAAAGCCTGGTGATCTGCTTCAGAAAGAGCATAGCCTTGAAAACCCTATGGAGTGCAGCTCTGCTCTGACACACATGGGGTTGCCCTGAGTCGGAGTCAGCTCAAGGGGAACTGGTTAACTGGTTGTAAGTGCCTTCCTTCACCGGAAGGTCTCTGATTAGATCTGCCAGCCCCCTGCAAGCTGGGATTAAATGCCCACGTCAGCTTGGAGGGAATAAGTAATGATAATTGAGATTTGATGAGCCCGAACTATGGCCCGGCTTTGACACTGACCCCACTGAGGTGGCTTCTGTTATAACCCCACTTCACAGTTGAAGAAACTGAGGCTCAGAGAAATTAAGTGATCTGCCCGAGGTCACAGCTAGTAAGCGGCAGAGCTGGCATCTAAACCTGCATGTTTCTGTCACACCCACTGGCTCCCTGGGGGTTTGGCCTCGAATCTTGGCCCGGCGCCACTCCCCAACCTCCTGACACCCCAAAGTTCAGGGTTCTCCCAGCTCCAGCCCCATGGGGGTGTCGGCCAGGTGGGGGGATGACAGCCGGACAGAACCACCGCCACACAAAGACGGTGTTTTGGGTTCTGGGTCCAACGCTCCCAGCATCCCTGCCTGGCCTCTCAGGAGGCCCAGAGCCTGCATTTGGCAGCTGGAACAGGGCTCCCAGGGGCAGCTGGGGTCTGGGGGAACGTGTGTCCCAATTTCATTCCTCTGCCCCACCTCTGCTCGTCTGCGTCTGCACACTGGGCCCCAGGCCTCTCGGGCTGATCACCCAAACCCCGGGCCACCCTGAGGCTTCCCTGGGAGGAGGTGGCTCCGGCAGCTGCTGACCGCAGTGCCCTGTGCAGGGAACAGCAGCACCTGCAGCAGCTCCGGGGCCTGGGCGACCAGGAGGGGAGCCTAGACTCCCTGGGCTCCCAGCAGGAATGGGGTGACGGCCCCCAGAACAACGCCGACCCCAGGTTCAAGCCATATGATCTGTCGACGCTCTACCCCTATGGGGACCCCCAGCTGCTGGACTACGACACTGTGAGTCTGGCCGCTGCTGTTTCCTGGGGGAGGGACTTCGGGGGCGGTGGGCTCTGTCTTGTGGCACCGTGGACTAGAGAGGCACCTGGGCTGTCCACAGGCAGAGGTGGACATTCTGGGAGTGGACGGGATCCTGTACAAGGGCCGCATGAACAACACGAGTGAGGTGCGGCCCACAATCTCCATGGACAAGGAACTCACAGGTGAGGGCAGTGGCCCTGTGCACCCGCCCGGGGTCTGCTCTGCTCGGCTGGGTCACGGGATACAGGCAGTGGGCCGCTACTCCAGGTGCAGGCTGGCAGGGCCCAGAGCTGGTGCTGTCCCTGCCTGGGAGGCCCTACTGTGCACCAGCACCTGCTCCAGGCACCGGGAGACTGTGGGAGCAAAGCAGATGGGCTGTCACCGCCCCCAACTCCGAGGTTTCCACACAAGGCGGTGGGGACAGACCAGGAACTGACAACCAGAATAAGAGGATCCACATTACAGACCAGGATGGATTGGCCTGAAGGGAGGGCCCTGAGGGCAGGGGGCCTGTGACAAGGGGCGCTGGCCCAGGGAGGGAACCGGGACTGTGTGGAGGAAGGGATGCTGGGCTGGGCTATGCTGCGGGAGTGGGAGTTAGCTGGGTGATGGGTGGGGAGGGAGGGAGTGGTCCAGGTGGGGAAGAGCAGTGCAAAGGCCCTGTGATGGGAGGAACTCAGGTGCCCTTAGGAGCTCAGGAAGGCGAGGTGGGCTGGAGGACGGAGACTGGGGTGGGGACGTGAGCAGGAGACGTGAACAGGACAGACCCCGGAGGCCTTGCAGGCCACAGGCTGTGACCTAATGTCATGGGCAGGCGTTAGGCTTGGGGGACCCGACCACCTGCACATCTGGAATTTGCTCTGGTGGTTTGCGACCCGGTTCAGCTGGCTCCGGCTGGAGACCCCAGGGCTCTGGGCTCCCACACTGGGCTGGGGTACAGAAAGGGAGGCCTCCTCTGCTCACCCCTTTTGGGTTCCCACTGTGGGCTGGGGTACAAAAAGGGAGGCCTCCTCTGCTCGCCCCTTTTGGGTTCCCGCTCTGGGAAGAGGCTGGAGCCGCACACTGCCCCTTGGATGGTCCAGGGTGACTGGAAGGTCAAAACCACCCCTTGTAATTCTTCCTCACCCACCACTTGCCCACTGACACCAGAACTGAACACCAGACACGTGAGAAAAGGAAACAGAGGGGTTCTACCTCATCAGGTGTGCTGGACAAAGAAGGCGCCCCTCTGCCTTGGGGCAGCCATAACAAAGGACCACACACTGGGGGCCTTAAAGCAACAGGAACCTATCCCCTCACAGTCTGGAGGCCAGAGTCCGAAGCCAAGGTGTCGGCAGGGCCGTGCTCCTTCTGGAGGCTCTAGGGGAGGGTCCTTCCTTGTTTCTTCAGCCTCTGGTGGTTCCCGGCCTTCCCGGGCTTATAGATGCATCACCCCAGTCTCTGTCTCTGTCTTCACGTGGCGTCTTCTGTGTATCTGTCCTCATCTGTCTTCTATAAGGACACCAGCTTATAGGATTTAGGGCAATCCAGGATGCTCTCATCTCAAGACCTTTTTCCAAATAAGGTCATATTCACAGGTTCTGGGGGCATATCTACTTGGAGGCCACCATTTAGCCCACTGCACAACCCCGCCCTGGTTCTAGGGGGCAGGACCCTGCATGCTCTCTAGGGATGGATGTGGCTGTCCGTGGCTTGCAGTGTTCACAGCTCCTCCTGGACTTGGCCGCTCCAGCCCCCTCCTGCCCCTGCCATGCTGTTCCGAGGGCGCTCAGGCTGGACGTCAGGGATCACCAGGCAGGATCGGAATAACAGTGGCTAATATGTAACAAGCCCCTTCTAAGCCCATGATGACTTGGGGCCCACCTGGATCATCCAGGAGAGTCTCCCCATCTCAGGATCCTTAATCACACCTGCAAAGTCCGTGTGTCTTAGTTCTCTAGTGCTGCTGTAACAGAAATACCACGAGTGGGTGGCTTTAACAACAAATATATTTTCTCACTGTTTAGGAGGCCGGAAGTCCGAATTCAGGGTGCCGGCTCTAGGGAAAAGTTTTCTCTATCTGTCGGCTCTGGGAGAAGGTCCTTGTCTCTTTTCAGCGTCTGTTCCTCCGTGCGACATCTGTCTTCCTGCACCTCTGCTTGCTTGCTTAATCTGCTGTTTAATATCTCAAAGGAGATTGATTGAAGACACACCCCACACTAATGCTGCCTCATTGACATGGCAGAGAAAACCCGTTCCCAAACGGGATTACAAACACTAAGACGTCAGGACTGGGGACACAGTTCAATCCATAACACCATGTACGGGCACACATTCCAGCTTCCAGGGATTGGGGACATGGCTGTTTTAGGGGGCCGTGATTCAGCTGACCACACCATCCACGGCTCTGCACAGACCTGAGGAGCCTGACTCCTCGGCCCACCTGCAAGGCCGCTCAACCTCTCACCCCGTCTGCCTCCACCAGCCCCAGGGCCTCTGCCCATGCCATGTGCACTGCCTGGAGCCCCATCTCCACCCAGCCCCTGAAGAGCCTTCTCCTCTGCCAAGGCTTAGAGCACATGCTGCTTCCAGACCTGAGCTGCCCCCTCTCTAGTCACAGTCCTTTCCGCCTACCCTTGGGACCAGTCACGTGGGCCTACTCGGAGCACTCAGGCTAGGCCATGCTGTTTCATGCTCTGTGGCCCCTCTTGCCTAAAAAGCCCTTTCCCCACCCTTCAAGTGTAGCTCACGTCCACTTGTTCTTCAAGTACCAGGCCTCTGGGAAGCCTTCCCTAGGAGGCCTCCGGACCCTGGGCGGAGGGGAACGAGGGGGCTGAGAGTTCAAAGGCCGGCTCCTGGGCTTCTGGTGACATGGAAGTAGGAAGCTGGGAGAAGCAGGTGGGGAAGCAAAATTGAGTTCAGTCTGGACATGTGTAGAGTCCCAGCTGCATGGGGTGTTGGAGTGAGTGTGGGGTGGGCAGATAGAGCCCTTCCCTGGGACTCAGAGGAAAACCTTTACTGGATCTTGAGTGTGTAACCCGGGCCCACATCCCTTGTCTTGGAGGGCAGCAGGGGTTCAGTTGGGGGAACAAATGAATTTAGTCTCACTGGTCAGCTGGTTGGTAGGTCCCATCTCTGGCCCCTGGAGGGGTCTGCGTGCTAACTGGTGATCCGAGCTGGGGACAGGGAGCCCCCCAACCACTCGGTGTTGGCACTCATGCAGACACGGGACCTGACTCAGGCCACATGGAGTCCAAAGGCTAGCGGGAGTCAGGGTGGGGCCCCGTGAGCTGGGTCCTCTGGAAAGTCACGCTGAGGCTGAGTTAGGAGGGCACAAGTTCTTCGGGGTGGGAGACGGCACCTCTGCAAGATAAAAGGGGGTCAGGGACCAGGCCAGGGAGCCAGCTGGAAAGGGGGGAGCAGGGTGACACCCTTAGTGATGTGGCTCAGATGAGGTCCAGGCCAGCCCGGTGGGGAGCTGTGTTGCAATGCTGAGGCTGGCAGAACAGCCTGCCTGGGCTGCTGGCTCGCAGTCGCCAGCCAGGGACCCTGCCCTCCCTGCAGCCCCACAGCTGGTTCTTTCTTGGAGGGAGAACCTCGTTGGCTGCCACACGCTGCTGGTCATCCCCCGAGTCATTCCTGAACGCCTCCTTGGGGCTGGGCGCTGTTTTAGCACCACTGGGGGTACCTGGTGTGGTCAGGATGATCAGTCTTTGCCCCACAGAGCTTGTGTTCTACGGGGACCAGAAAATACAAGCGGATCAGTGAGTTCACTGGGGGAAGGAGTCAAACGTGGGAGTGGGATGGGGCGGCGTTTGAAGTTGGATGGCCTGGGAAGAACCCTCTGAGAAGTGACATTTGAGACGGGAATTATCAGAAGATGGCCAGGGAAAGATCTGGAAAACAGCACCATCCGGTAGAAGGAACAGCCAGGTCTGCCGGTAACTGGTCCTGAGCACCAGGCCTAGCCTCCTCACCCCAGGCCCCTGGCGCCCCGTGGGGTCTCCTGCTCGTTCGCCTGTGAGTCCTCCTGCCCTCGGTCATACCTTCTTCTCTCGTTGCCTCTTCCCACGTGCCCCCATCTCTTCTCGAGCAGTGGCCTTTGGTCATGGTGATTCTTGGCTGGACAAGGAGAAGGGGTGGCTTTGGGTTCAAAAATGAAGGAGGGGAGGGGAGGGGGCCTTACGGTGGTCCGGCCTCCAGCAGGAACGTCTCAGGAACTGCTGACAAATGGCCTGTGACTTATTCCTGCTGGCACCGCCTGGGCCTTGCGACGCTGAGACCAGGCCTGCCGCCTGCCTGGCCCCAGTGACTCAGAACACCTTCTCTCAGTGTCTTTGCCACGTGACGTCTAGGCTTCAGGGGGCGGCAGGGAGAAACCCTCTCCCGTAAGGCGTGGGCGGGGCCGCAGGGTGGGACGGGAACTCTGGAAGGGACCCCCCACTCCCACCTCTTTCCCTTTACTCTTCCCTAAGCTGTGAAGGTTCCGCGGCCCCCCTCTCGAAACCTGTATGACCATGTGCACACCAGCGACTCATTTGGTGCCATTTACCCCCGTGAGTACCCGTCCCCCAAACTTCCTGGCCCAGCAGGGCCTCTGGCAGGACCTTGGGCTCCCCCCAGCCCAGCCCACCTCACCTGGGGCTCCCTGCACCCCCTCTTCCATCTCTTACCTGCTCTGCCCGCACCTGGGCAGCCTGCCTGCCCACCCTGCCAGGACTGGGAAGCCCCTCAAGTGGGGCCACCTGCACGCAGCTGCAGGCCCGGGAATGAGCGCCACAGGAATGTTCTTCCTCAGTGGTGAGAGAAGGGAGCCCTCCCGGCCCCCTGGGCCTCCCTGTGACTCACATCGCCATGGTAACAAGCCTCCGTGGGGCAAAGGACAGTTTACAAGCACTGTGTCCACTCTTATCTCTCCCGGTCCTTATCCCGACCACCATCAGCCCCTCAAAGCAGGGAGCTGAGGCGCATAGCTGTGTCCGAGGCCACGTAGTTGAGCCAGAGCTGGAACCTGGAGCTGGCCTCTTGGATCCCACTTCCTTCTCGGGTGCCCTGCTCCCCTCTACTTTCCGTTTCCGGGTCGTGTGTTTTGGGGGAGCCGGAGGAGCTGGGTCCGTGCCTGCCGTAGCCGTAACGTCCTTGCAGTCTGGGGGCTCTGCTCTCTGAACCGGGATGCCCCCCAGGCTGCCACTCCAAGGGTGGAGTCTCCAAATGGAATGCTCTTGAACACATGGAGGGTTTCTCTTGCCCCCCAGCCCTGTACCCCCGCACAAGCACCAGCACAGCCACCCCAGGCCCCCACCTGACAGTGCCATCCCGGCCACCATCTCTGCCACCCCTGCCACTGCTGCCACGGCTGATCCCACCGCCGCGGGACCCCCAGCAGGTTCCGGGGGCCAGCAGGCACACGAGATCCCTGCGCTTCGAGTCCCGAGCCAGCTCTCAGCCCAAGGAGGAGCCTGCCAACCCGTGAGCCTCCCAACCCCCCACAGCTGCCAGGGTGCCCCCGGGGCTCTGAGCCAGACCTAGGAAAGGGGCTGTGGACACAGGGTAGGTCTTTACAAGCGTTGACCCCCATTTTGACCCAGTGGCTGTTCTGTGTTTATATGAATGCAAACGCCACGTCTTTCTGGAATGAGCTCTCCATTAAGCCAGTTTCATACCCTGACCAATTTTCAGTACAACACAGTGTTCTTCATTTTTTTTTTTAAATGACTTTCTTTTTTATCCATGACAATTTTTCAGTGAAACCAATTCCTTGATCAACCCACATCATCCTGAACCAATACCAGCTCCTGCCAGTCAGTTTTTCTGGGGGCCGTTATTTTTACCAAGTCCAGTTTCCCTGTGGGAGAAAAATGTACTGCCTGCATCATTTTTTATTTTATGTTGGTTATTTCTACCAGGAATTCTTGTTAGGAACTGGGTCTTTAGAAACCTGATTATTTGTACTTAGTTCCTGGCTAACCCCTGAGGACCCTGGAGTGACGCCCCTCAAATATGCCAGCATCGCCCTGGCCCTGGGGGTTACCCCTCCTGAGCAGCTGCCAACCTTTCGGCTGCTGCAACGACCCGGTGCTTGGCAGAACAGAGAGCAGCCGTGAGGCCTGAGTGCCCCGTCGGGCTACTGTGTGCCCGGGCCTGAAGGCAGAGCTGAGCGGTTCCCGATCCCTCCTGGGCACCATGTCCCTCTGGCTGTTTCTCCCTCCCAGCCGCCATTCCCTCACCTCTTCCTCACTCCCCAGCTCTGGTGGGGAGTGCTCCTAGCCCCTGGTGCTCGCCATCCTTTCTGCCCGCTTCACTGCGATGCCCAGTTTGGGGGCATGTCCCCTGCCCCCCACGCTCACTGAGTTCCCTGGGGTACAGGGAGGAATCAGGGAGTTGGGGGTAGTGAGCTGAGGTCCCTGGGGTACAGGGAGGAATCAGGGAGTTGGGGGTAGTGAGCTGCCCATGAGTGAGTCTTCAGGGGGCTCCCCATCTGCACCCCTCAGGCCCACCCTGGGGGAAGTCTGGGGGCTCCAGGCTCTCTCTCTAGGGGGTGACATGAAGGGGGGGGTCCACCTGTTCCCAGTGGCCCCTGCCCTCCCCAGCCCCGGGTCCTGACTGCTTTCTTCTCTCTCCGAGGACGGTGTCCAAATGAGGCCGTGAGCTTCCTGACCCAGTGACTTACCTGTCCAACCACCTTGGGGGGCAACAGCCCACGGAACCCTGGCCCCCAGCCCCCACCCCCATGTCACAGATGAGTATTTTTGCACCATCTTCCGGAATAAAATCTTTCACTTGGCTGACTGTGGATGAGGGTGACTGGCCGGTGCCCCTCTGTGGTGAAGGCCTGCCTTCGCCACGTGGACGGGTGGGACCCGCTAGTCCCTCTTCCTGCCAGGGCCCCACTTCTGCCGTCTGTCCCACAGCAGGGGAGGGAGGCACGGCCCTGGCTGCAGTCACTGGGGAGATGGGGCCCGAGGGAGCTCCCCGCTGGGCCTGCCGTAGTGGGGATCCTGTCCCTGTGCCCCCAATGCACACCCACATGCACGCACCCACATCCACGTGCCCCCACATCCACGCACCCACATCCACTCACCCCCACATCCACGCACCCACATCCACGCACCCAGGGCTCCTCCCTTGCCCTCATGGCCGGGCTCAACTCTCCCTCCCGGCCCCTGGTGCTTGATCCCCACATGGCCCCTGCAAACCTGGTGCCTGCAGCTGAGGAGGAAGGCCTGGGTGTGCAACACTAACACGTTTGCACTCTCCCGGGCCTCCTTCCGAGGGTGGGGAACTTTGAGACAGAACACTAGGCTGGCCAGGAGCAATCCCAGAGGAAGACATTCCTATCCCTGTCAGGGTGGGTGGGAGCAGCCAGCCTCCGGACCGGTCCCAGGTGGCAGCCACCCTCCAGTCCCAGAGGGGTGGGAATTGGCAGGCCCTTAAAGCTGGGGGGAGGGGAGCGGGGGGTGCGGCCTCCTCTTGGCCCCTCAACAGGTGCCTCAGGAGGGGCCCCACGCTGTCCCAGCTTGGGAAGGCACTGGGGAGTGAAGGAACCAGGATGGGGCCACTAGGGTGAGAATTATGGGGGCGCAGTCTCCTCTGGGCCTGGGATGCAGTGGCAGGGCCAGGCTGGGCAGGGAGCAGGGTGACCCACTGTCCTGAGACTCAGGGCTTCCAGTTTTAAGACCAGGATGAGCTGGTTATGTGGGGAGGGAGGCCTCCAGGCCAGCCCTGCATGTTGGGCTGTGAGCGTGTCGGCCCGGCCAGGAAGGGGAGGGAGGTGCCTCCTGCAGAGCAGAGGGTGCCACCTCATGTCATGCTGGAGGGGAGGAGACGCTGTGCAGGGACCACCCTCACCCCCAGCCCAGCCCCACAGCCCACCACTGCACGCAGAAGGGTCACTGAACATTTTCTCCCTTTCAAAGACCTTGAACTCATTAATCCTAAGGTATAAACAGCCGATGATGGCAGCGAATGTGTATCCCAGACAAGACCCTCTGCACTGGGGAAAGACGCTACCAGGAAGCACCCTAAGGCAGGCGCCGGGGCACTGGAGGGAAGGGCCTGCTGTGCAGGGCTCCTGGTCGGTAGGTGTCATCTGTTGTCAACTCATAGTGCCCCAGTGGGATAGAGTAGAACTGCCCCATGGGGTTTCCTAGGTTGTAATCTTTACAGGTGCCGGTTGCCACTGGGTGGGTTCCAACCGCCTGACCTTTCAGTTAGCAGCCGAGCGCTTAACCACTGCGCCACAGGGCTCCTTTCCCAGACACAAGCTGTGGTTAGAAAACCCAGAGACCTTTTCAAATGCGGGAACTGGAAACAACCTGGCCTCAAAATGAGTCAAAGGCGTCCTTTGTCCTTGGTGCTGGGGATTGTGGATGAAAAGCCCCTCCAGAGACCTCCAGGGCTGCCCCTCAACAGTGAGGGTCCCTGTGGCTGGCCAGCCACAGTGTTCTCAGAGAGCCCTAGTGGCCACCGAAAAGTCCCTGGGGATGCTCAGCGGCCCTCAGAGTGCCCCCACATCCCAGAGGATCCACAGTGGAGAACAAGCCCCTCTCTTCACAGCCGTCCAGGGAGGATCCCCAGCGGCTGCAGAAAGCAGTTGAGTGTCTAACACACCTCTCGCGAGGAGACATGGCGCTCATCGGCCCAAGGCCCCCACCCCGCTGAGTAGAGTCACTGACGTTTTCTGTCTGCGGGGAAACCAAGATTCCTTCAGAGCGGCCACCGCATCCAGAGCAGAAGTTAGAAGTGCAACGTCTGCAGTGGCAGCAACCTGGCTGGTTGGGCAGGGACAGGACGGCCACATCCCCAGTGTGACGGTTAGCTTTGGCTAGTGGTGGTTTGAAGGGAATTTGGCCAGATATTCCAGTTCTCCAAGATCAGCCAGAAGTGGGGACTTTCATGTAACCTCTCCTGATTTTAAAATGGCAAGCAATCACACTAGATTCACACCCTGTGTGAGGCCACAGCACCCGTGGGGGGATTACGGTCTGCCCCCAGAGATAAGCCAAGCCCTTCCTCGGAATCAGACGTGTGGAGCTCGAAGCCCAGTCTTCAGAGCAACCTCAGGGGGTGCAAATGGTGCTTCTTGGAGCGGACTTTTGGGAACAGCCCAAGCCATCAGGAGGTCAGGTCTGGTGGGTGGTCGGGGTGACCACGTTGCCAAGGCTGGACTTTGAAGTAGTGAGGCCGGTCTCCTGGGCCACCAGACAGCTCCCAGGAGGGTCTTGATGTGACAGGCCAGGGGGCCTGCAGAGCTGGGTTCTGCTGTCAGAGCACCAGCACCGTCCCCGCTGGTCGCCGCTGGCTCCTTCAGTTTTGCTTCTGAGTTTCCAGGCTTGGAAGTGGTGAGAGGACCCTTCTGGCTCCCCCCCAGTCAGTCGCGGTTGCTTTTCCAGCCTTGGATTTGACGCCAGGGGCAGCCCTTGTCCGTGAGCTGCCAGACAGACCCCCAAGTTCCCAGGCACAGCTCTGGGTGCACACGTGGGACAGCGTGACAGGAAGACGCTGGCCTTGGGGAGCCGCCCGACGCCCCAACTTTGTGATGGCCCAGACGGCCCACCTCCTGACAGGACTGGATCCCACCCTGCTGGGCCTTCGTCCAGCATGGCTGCCTGGGAGCCCAGAGACCTGGGTGTTTAACGAGCACCCATGACCCTATCACCCCAAGGGGCTGCATTGGGCTGCCTGGGGGCTGTTCTTCCTAACAGCTTTATTGAGATGTCACATGCCAGTGAGTGGTATTTAGTATATACACAATCAGTCGGGGGAGAGTTTAAAAACCTACTCCCAGGCCCTCTCCCAAGATTCTGCTGCGGCAGGCCTTGGAATCTGCTTCTTGTTGCTGAGCGCCTCAGGAGACTCTGCTGAGCAGCTAGGTATGGGAACCGGGGTCTACAGCAGTGCTCCACGGGGGCGATCGTTTTCCCGGGGGACACTGGGCAAGGTCTAGGAACATACCTGGTTGTCACACCCGGGGTAGGGGTGCTCCTAGCATCTGGTGGCTGAAGACCAGGGATGTAGTCCCACCACAAAGAATGATCTGGAACAAAGTGTCAACAGTGCCAAGGCTGGGAAGCCCAGGTCTAGGGACCTAAAGTCCCTCCGGCTTTCATGTGACCACCTGAGACCTCCCAGCCCCAGTGGCCCCAGAACCAGAACAAGGCATGGTGGGACAACCTCCCAGCAGGCCAGCACTCAGTCAAGATGTTGTGTGGGATGTTTCTCAGACTTTATGTCCACCTGCATCCCCTGGGGGTTGTGGTACAAGGCAGATCCTGACCCAGTAGCTCCAGGCTGGGCTTCAGATCCTGCACTTTCAGCAGGCCCCGGGGACGCACTGGTCAGTGGCCTCACTGAGCAGTGAGGGTGTGCTCCCTGCTGGTCCGGGGGCCGGCCTGGGTGGGGCCTTGGAGCCCACCGCCCCTGCCAAGACCGCAGGTTCTTGACGGCCACCTCAGTCGTCTCCCCTCAAGGACAGCCAAGGCCCAGCTCACCCCAAACAGCAGATAATTCAAAAACACGTATTTGTCCCTGGAAAGCAGTTTTCCTGCTACTTGAAAGTGGCAGTTTCCAGAGAATTCTCTTGCATCCAAAAGCATGAAGCTGAAGCTGCAGAGTGAAGACTTGGGATGGCTGAGATGGCCTCCCTTCTCGTCTTGCTCCTGGTGTCTTCACACCCTGCCACTCGTGTGACCTGGACGATGTGGCATCACCGAGGCGGAGCTGCCAGAAAGGTGAGTTCAAAGCCAGTGCAGGTCTCTTGACACAAGTGCCAGCTCGCACGGGCCAGCGGTCAGGCTTCAGTGTTGACCCAGAGGGGACAGTCATCTGAGGTAGGCTTCACGACTGCCCAGGTCCCACCTGAGCAGAGATGGGGCGGACGGGGACCAGAACAGGGACAGGAGCCTTGGAAAAGGCTCCCAAGTTGGAGAAGACGACATGGGCACCTGAGCAGAGGGTCCCCCAGGGGAGGGACCAAGCACCAAGGACGCCATCCTAGTGAGGGAAGGATAAGCTGCAGCCCGAGCCCCTCCCAAGCCCAGGCCCCCTCAGAAAGGGTGCCAGGCCAAGGCTGCCTCAGGACCCCCCAGCATGGGCAGCCGGGAGCTGCCCCCAGGCTCCTCCCCTGGACTGAAGTGGGTGCAACCAGGCCCATGGGAGCAGCCTGGAACCCATGTTCTACTGCCCCTGGGCTGCTGGTCTCCTTGCACCCTAACATCTGAGCCCCAAGCTGGCCCTGGCTCAACCTCTGTCCTGCCGGCTAGTCCCCACTGGCCCTCCCAGCCTGCTGCCTCCAGCCACGTCTGCAGGAGGTTGGGCTCAGAGGGTCCAACCTGCAGCACAACCAGAGGGCCTGGGAACAGGAAGGTCCTTATGTGAAACTTGGGCGCTCATAGCTGGGGTCAGGCTCTGTCTATAGGAGGTAGTGTGGGCAGACTGAGGTTAGGATCTGGGAACATGTGCCAGCAACTAGCTCCACGGGAAGAGTTTCCGGGGGCAGTACAATTCCGGAGCATGTTGTGGTTGCAGAGACAGTGACAGACAGGGCAGTGTGGGGCAGGCGGGACCCGGAGGTGGCCCAGCTCTGTGTGGCTGCCCTCCCCAGCACAGGGAGCCACTGGCGGCAGAGCCAAGGCGCAGCAAGACCACAGAGCCTGATGGTGGTTTGCAATTCTTTCTTCTCCGTTGTTAAAAGGGGAAAGGAAACGGGGCTGGGGGACCCCCGGGCTCTGGGGAGGCATGCAGGCAGCCCCAGCAGGCAGGAGCTGGGGTATGGGTGGGAGAGTCCTGGAGTTTCCCACAATCCTCTTCTCTGCAGAGAACAGCAGTGGCAGCTGACTGAGGGGTAGGGATGAGGCGGGGCGCTGGGGAGGGGGCAGCGGGCATGGGGTTCACTCTAACATGCAAAGTCCAGCTGCCCCGTGAACAGGTTGCTTTTGGAAACCAATATACATATAAATACAGACACAGCCACACGCACACACGCGGACACGACCCTGCGGTCCCGGGAACTCAGAGTCAGGAGCTGGCAAGTTCTCCACCGTCGACGTTCTCTGCGGTGCCCTGGGTCGGGCAGCCTTTGCAGGGAGGCTGTCTGGTCTCTGAGAAGTTCTGTCCACCAGGCTCCCCGACGGCTTCGCACCAGACCCAGGCGACCAGGGACTGCCCGCTGGCTCCCAAGTGCCACGCCTGTGGCTGGGCACGTGGGCGTGGGATGCAGCCCCTGCCTGGCCAGTGTCTCTCCCGTCCAGGGCTCCGGGGAACGACGGGGTGCAGGAGGGGTATGGGGGCCCGTGGAGATGTCCTCTCCCCCCACCCACGGGGCCCTGGCCTCTGGGAGGGGGGAGGGGCCTCCCTTATCTCTCTGCCTCCATGGCAGGGTGGGCCCTCGGTTCCGAGGCAGCCTGCTGGGGGGCCAGGGGTGGCCAGTCTGAAGTCGGGGAGGGGGGTGCTGGAGTCCACAGGGGCAGCTGCTGCGGCTGGTGGTGCTGTGTGCCCCCTGGGGGCGAGGCCGCAGTCGGCCAGCTGGGCGCCGCGAAGTTGCCGGCCGCGGTGGTGTGGGGGAAGTGTGGCGGGGGCGACGTGGCCCCTGTGGCCATTGGGCTGCCACTGCCCCCACCGTGGAAGCTCTCGGAGGCCTTGAGACGGGAGAACATGGTAAGGGCGTCAGGGAAGTTGGGGGGCGTGGCGGGGGTGTTGGCGGGAGTGCACATCTGTGTGGGGAGAGAAAGAAGGCAGAGGTGAGGCTCCCTTTTCTGGGAGGCCCGCTAGGCCTTCTGCTGTCTCCTAAGGAGGACCAAGCCCAGCCCACGGTCAGGAAGCTTTTGGTTCCTGTCCCCAGATGCTACCCAAGCACGCACCCACCCCCCCAACAGCCTGTCCCTCCAGGGGCTCCCAGAGTGGAGCCACCCAGACATGGGCCAACCCAGCCTGAGGGGCATCACCCGCCCACTTCACAGCCACCTCCAGTGAGGCTGGTGCTTGCCAGCCCTGGAGAGTGGCAGGGTGGGGCTGGAGCCAGGCGCCCACTGGGGCCACTGCCCCTGCTCTCAGGTCTCCAAGGAGCCCATGGGGCCAGTCCCAGTACCTGCCCTCCTCCCAGGAAGGGGCCCACCTGTAGCTCCCGCCCTGTTCCCACCCAGAACCGCAGTGCTGCCCCAGGGGCTCTGGGGTCACTTACCATCTGGTGGTGGTGGTGGCTGTAGGGGATGTTGGTCTCCTGGAAAAAGGCGCTGAGGGCCGTCTGCGGGAAGAAAGGCCCACACTCACCTCCAGGATCCTTCCCAGGCGGTGCACCAGGAGCCCCACTGAGCCCAATCTCTGAGGACCCTCGAAACACTGCGGCCACCTGCCTCTAGCTCAGAGTCCTTCCTTTGCATGTACCTGGGGTCCTCAGCCATCACCATGACTCAGAGGTACCAAGCAACACCCCCCATCTCATGGGGAAAGAAGATTCTCTGAAGGCGTATGACTCCCTGCCCATGGCCTCAGGGATCCTGAGTGCTGGCCAGACCCAGGCCTTTGGTTCAGGAGGCTCTAGCCCAGCTGACCCCTCCCGTCTGGGCCTCAGCTTCCCGATCTGAGCCAGCACGGACAGCAACACGTGCCTCCAGGACTGAGCCGCCATGGGGTTTATGACAGGTGACCACTGATGACCACTAATCACAGCCACACTGGCCAGACCCGGGACACCCTGCCTGTCCCCCTGCACACCACTGCCGCCTGGAGCTTGGCCCCACAGGGTTCACCAAGGTGAGAGCATGTGCCACCGTCAGCATCGACCCCGGCAGGTAGGGATGGCGCTGCCTGTTTCTGAGTCTGGGAAGCTGAGGGAAAAGTGACTTGCACAAGGCCACTCACTGGCCAGTAAGAGGCAGAGGTGGGTTTGAACCCTGACTGACTCCGGGCAGCCTTCAGAACAGGCCATGGGGGAACGAAGAAGGGGGCTCGCCAGCCATTCTGGGTGTCCGGCTCAGATATGGGGCCCTGGGTGGCTAGAGTGCAGACAGGCTCCAGGGCGCCTCGCGAGGGGCCCCTGCGGGCGGCACTGGGTGATGAGTCCCGCTCAGCCACCACAGGAGGGGTGTCGGAGGGAAATAAGGGAACCAGCTGCTCTTGCGAAAGTGCCTGGTAAGGAAGCTGTGAAGTGTGTGAAGGGTCCACCAGGCACACAGCCAAGTCTCGGGGCCCAGCCCTGGAGTCGGAGCCGCCAGCCCCAGCCAGCCCCACCGCTCTGCCTGCCATCACACCCAGCGGGCTCACCCCACAGCTCCTCCCAGCCCAGCACACCCTGATCCAGCCAGGCTCCCAGGGCCTGCCCTCGGGGGCTTTCTTAAAGTAAACGCACAGAAGAGTTACTCTGGAACTTCCTGCTGGAGACGGTCTACCCTGTGTCCCTAAATGGGGGTGTAGGAGCTCCAGGCTGGGGGCTGGTCTCTAAGCACCCCAGTTACGCCAATACCCCTAGACACTTGCTCAAAGCCAGCTTCACTCTCAGGGGACACCCGGCCCCTCCTCCCCCAGCAGCAGCCCCAAAGGTCCCAGTGTGTGTGGATTCCATTGGGAATTGTCTCCTCGTGTGTGCCTCAAAACCCCAGCCATTACAGCGCAGCGGGTCAGCTCACTTCGGAGCCCCCCCCCCCCCCCCCCCCCGCCACCAGCCTCCTGCCCGCATTAGCACCTAAATCACAGAGAAGATGACCCAGAAACACCACCTCCGCTAGGTCTGCATCTGCTGCCAGCCCCAGTGGAGGGCCGGGGGGAGGGGTCAGCCATGGGAATCCCCCACTCACTCCCACCCAGAGGCCCAAGATTTGGGGGTTCACAGCCACTTTCGCCTTATTGAGCCTCCCCCATACCCCTTATTTTACAGATGGGGAAACAGACCCCCACAGAGCCCAGGGCACAGGGCTCCTCCAGGCCCCTGGGGTCAGCAGAGCACTACCCCTCCTCCAACAGCTTTTCCCAGACAGTTCAATCCTCAAAGCCACATCACCAGTTCCTGGGACCAAGCAGCACCCACCTGTGCCACCTGGGTGGCCATCTCCTGCCCGGCTGCGGGGGCTGGACTGGTCCCAACAGGCAGGTGTCCACCTCTGAGGACAGCTGCCTGACCGGCCCCCGGCAGGGAGGAAGCTGTGTATGCAGATACTAACTGCCATGAATGTGGTTTTGCAAGGTTTTGCCACATGCAGCCCTTGATTAGGGTGTCTGTTGTCAGAGAGGTGGGGAGCAGGGAGCTTCCTGGAGGGTCGGCTGCCGGCCTGGGGGGTGGGGAAGACAGCTGGCCTTTCACTCCTTAGAGGCCGCTCACATCCCCCAGGTAGAGATATGGAAACTGAGGGCAGAGGGAAGAGGGAGCCTGCCCAGAGAGGCAGAGGAGCGCTGTCTCTGGGTGTGAAGACACACAGGGTCAGGGGCCCCAGGTATCTGGGAGGGGGAGGGAAGGAAGGATTCATCCCAGCCGAGTGGACTAACCACTGTTTTCCCCATCTTTCCAAACCTTAGGGCAGGAAATTCAATATTGTTGCAGCCTCCAAAACGATGACCAGGGCCCCTGGCTCCTGCAGCTGCCTGAGGAAAATGGTCTCTCCAGGCCAAACACCCTCCCTGGGGCAGCCCTGGCTGGCTGTGAGCCTACACACCACCCTGGGGTTATTTCTTGAGTTAAGGACGGCCGAGTGGCCTCTTGGCAGCAGAAGCCGTGGGCACTAGGACCCCATGGGCCAGCAGCGGTCTGGGGGTGGGGTGGCCCCGGACTAGGGGAAACAGCCTCCCTCCTGCCAAGCTGGCCTGAAAGCTACTGACCCTTGTACATCATTCAGGTGCACCCCTGCAGATACGCGACTCCTCTGCCAGGGGAGGGCACATAGACACGCAGACTCCCCCAACCAGGGCATCCGGTCACTGGGGTGTGAGACTCCAACACACCATCCTTACACTCGGCGCTGCGTGGACACATCTCACATCTACTGGGTATGACCACAACTGCAGAACCAACCAAGACGCCCGTGTACACACCGAGTACACACGCATCCTGTACCGCCGGGCGCAAAGCGTGTTTACACACATGCCGGCGTTTCCCCTCCCCCGTCCCCCCGACACGAGCACACGGACGTGTGGAGCGGTGCGTAAATACAAATACACATGTTCGTACGCATACGCCGGAGCAGGGACCCGCGGACCACGCACTGGGGCGGCTCCGCCGGCGGGGCCAGGGCTCGCCCTTAGCCCGCCCGGCAGCCCTCGGGTTGGGGACTCGGGCTCCGCTCGGCCGAGGCCCGGGGCATCCTCCTTCCGGCCGCCCGCCTACTATCCGCCCGGGCCGCCGCCCCGCCCTCCGGCCGTTACCCGAACGAAAGGGGGGGTCCCCGATCCCCGCTTGGGGACTTGGGCGCGAGGACTCACGGCCCAGATTGGGGGGGTCTCCCCTGCAGCCCACCCCCGCCGCGGCGCTTTCGAGGGAGGCGGCGGCCGCGTAGACGCGTCCCCGCGGGGCTCGGGGCTGACAGCCGCCCTCGCGGGTGCGCGTTACGGTCCG